GGGGTCTCCTTGCCGGGAAGTTAACTAGGTCTTCCCTTGTAATCGTCATCATGGGGGAAGGTTCGGGGAGTGGAGCCTCCACCGACCCTCCCATGATGACTTCCTCCTCGTTCTCCCCTGCGGCTCTGGCCCTAGACCGGGTAGCGGGGGGTGAGGGAGGTGGAGAGGTTCTCTCCCTCTCCTCCTTTTCCCTGCGGAGGTCCGCCACCTCCTGCTCCAGGCGGCGGTTTGCCGCGAGGATCTCTTCCACATTTTTGTTGGCGGAGGAAGGGGCTCTTCCCGCGATGGGGTCATAGAACCCCTTCTCCGCCCTTTCGGCTAGGGTCGCAGCTTCTGCTTCCAAGGAGGAAGCCGCCGCACAAAGGAGCCCGGCCAGGTTTCCCTTAAGGCCTTTCGAGTCCCCGGCGACTTCTAGGATAGACTTTGTGTCATTCCTGAGGTCGTCTAGGATCTGCTGGACCGGCGCTGCCTCATATCGCATAACCTTGCTTTTCACCTTTTCCATGAATTTATGGAATCGCTCGGTTGTGCGATCCGTCTCGTAGTAAGGATTCATAATCCTGTCTGCGACCCTGTGGTGGAGCTCATCAATTTGTTCCACCGCCTTCTCCCTCCTTTTCCGGATGGTGTGTTGCCCGATATTTGCGGGATCACTAGCGGGGCGACCCTTTGGATCCTCTTTTTGGGCCTGTGCTCTGAGGATCTCAAGATCCTCCTTATCTGAGGACAAGAGGCCACTCCTTCTCATCCTCTTTTCCCTCTTCCTCCTCCGCTCCTTAGAGGAGGGAGAGTCAGGGAGGTTGGTGGTATCCTCCCTGTCCTTCCGTGGCCTCTTGGCCCCAATCGATGAGGTGCTGTATTTTGTGACAGACGATAGTCTGTCACCCTCATCGTCCGAGCCCAGGTCTATAAAGGTGACCCCAGAGAGGCTCTCCTCTGACCCCGCTCTCGATAGTCCCTGCGGTCGCCTCGGAGACCCGGCACGGAATTGATCCCGCGATGTGCCCGGGGTACCCGCAGGGGTGCTTTTTCTCGACCTTAGGCAAGGTCGGTGCGGAGGGGGAAGAAAGGAGGGTAAATTCCCTCCCTTTCCTCTCCCTGTCATCTCGTCGTCAGAGTCACCTCCGCCCCTCAGTCTCAGTACTGAGATCTGAGGTGAGGCATCCGACTCCTGAGACATCGTCGATGTCTCTTCTCCCGTTACAGCTCGAAGAGCTGTTCTCTCACCGGAAAAACAACGTTTCTCGGGTGTGAGAGCTCGCTCCCGACGACTCCTACCACCTTCGTTTTTTTTTATAAAAAGCACCATTTTTTATTTTAAACCCACCACCCACTGCGGCTCCGCTGACCGGGCATGCCCACTAAGTCCCGAGTTCCCTCGGGAGGTCAGCATATGACACGGGCACCGGGAA